ATTATATAAGTGCTTTTGCTTCTCTTAAAATTTTTGAAGTCCTCAAACTTTTTATGAAGTACAGTATTTTTTACTACATATTATAACATAGATTAACATATTTGAATATGTCCTCAACGTATTTTGACATATTTCAACATATTTCTGCAGATTTTATCGTATTTCATCATAAATTAGCATATTTCAATGTATTTTATTGAATCTTGACGTGTTTATGATAACATAACGCAACTATTCTCTGTTATAAATTTAGACCAATCTTCGCACACGTGATAACCCTTTTCTATGTATACTTATATACACCACAGAGATTAAATTAAGCCACTATGGATTCTCTCAACAAATCCAATTCTGCGTCGGCTGACGGATGTTCAATTAAGAATAAGAGAAGGAACGGAAAATGTTCGCCCGCCAGTGAGGCCGTACAAGGAAGATCACATCACCTTAACTTCCGAAGATTTTTTTTCCCCTCTTGCTTTGTTGCACTCCTCGTTGTCGCTAATTATATGTTGCTACTAGTAAGCTATATGGAGTAAAGATTTCTGCAATAAATAATAGGCACCCTCTCGCAATTTCCAATTCTGCCCTTACGTAGGATCAAATATACATTCATTCGGGATGTTTAGATCCCAGAAGTAGTCTATACATATGAACTATAAATATTATACATATGCATAATGGGTACGACGCCTATCATTGTAAACCTGTTTTAAAAATTCATCGCAGAAGATAACTTCCTTGGACGAGAAAATGATGACCCCAATACAAGAAAGGAACTTATCCGAATTAAATGAAAATGGATGTTTCAGAGAAGGAGACTCAGATAAAAATGTAAGTTCCTCTGATTCTGAATCTGATCATGTGTTATCCGGGTCTGATAAAATGGATTTAGGTGAAAATGAAGAAAAGGACGGTTTGGATGCAGATGAAAATGTTGAAGAAAAATATGAAGGAGGAAATGACTTCTTTAATATTTTCTCGCATACCTTCTGGGAAGGTGAGAAGATATTTACTAGCAATGTGACAAGGGAGGAGATAGACGAACTGATGAATAATATGGAACAAGTGCCATCCAAGGATGAAATTATCAAAATGTGCAAGGGCGTATATGCTTTGGAAGTACGGGCGATTTGCTTAATTCTAATTTCATTAATGGAATATTTCGAAGAATTGAAGGAAAAGCATCAAATAGAAGAGGAAGAAGCCTGTGTCCATTGGAGGAGGCTCATGTCCATTTGTTTTGACGTATTAACAGAGAAGGAGGAGCACTACCGTAAACTTTTCAGTGGATTCATCATGAAGGATCGGTTGACCAAGCAGGAATTTGTGAATTTCTTGAACAGTTGCAGGGAGGAGGCTGCTGAATTCAGAGAAACTCTACAGACCTTGGGGAAGAGAGAATTGGATGCAGGAATGATCCCAAAACAAGAAAGCGACTAGGAATGGCATTTGTGAACTGAGGGGAGTTACGAAGAACAGTGGTAAGGCGAATGATTGTGCACGTATATATGCAAGTGCCCGAAGCTGTCGCGCAGATTGATAGTATAAAAAAAAAGTGAAATACAACGTATGCTTTGCCTTGATGCCATAATCAAACAGGGTGGCTTGGATAAACCGAAATCTCGTTATCTTACTGCCCTGCAACTCCAAGTGAAGAACAAAAGAGGAAAGGAAAAAGTTTCGACATTTTCTATAATATAACATCTGTGACATCCGTATTCCGTCGATAGCTATCCAGCCTAAAGGGAATAATATCTATGCGAAATATAGAAGCTACTTAGATTGGTAGTTTATCTATAAATGAGGTACATTATTTTGAATTTCTCTTTGTAAACACTGACAATGTTTTCTATATATGTGGCTTCTCTGCTAAGTTAACTCAATTTTTTTAGTTGTTTTTTTTGAAACTGTTGTTTAATAGTGAACATTTCACATTCAGAAATTAACTTCCACTTAAATTTGTGTTCACATGCTTCTTAGTAAGGAAGAATAATGTATATGTAACTGTAGTTTTCTACGGACTTTTGCGCGTAAGCTACCTACAGGCATATAAGATCACATAATATATGTATTTCTCTATAATATAACAGTTTAAAATGCTAAATGGAGGAGAATATACATTTAGAAAGAAAATTCGCTAACGACAGTAAACCGTTTTAAAAGGAATTAGGATGATTATTTGGGAATTCCTCTCGAATACGAAAAGGAAGTCTGAAGGGGGAGTCACAACGTACACATTAATTTGACAGGCGTCGCCTAGTGAGAATACATGGAATAGGAAAAATGTCTAAGAAACGTGTGCATATTGAGAAATGATTTACATGGCACATAAGCCATTCATACATAATGTCTCCTGTGATGAAGTGGTAGAAGTATGGTTATTAATGTTGGAACTTCAGAAGGGTAATTTGAACACTTAAGTAATGATAAAATATAGGCAAAGAGAAAAGAAAAGTTTAAAATATGATGATGTTATTCCCTAAGAATAGGACACATTGTTTAATACAATGTCAGGTGGGTTATAATAAATCCAGGTAAATATTAAAATAATACATTGAGGGACCCCTTGATAGCATAAAATGCCACAACGCAGTTACGATACTCATGTAATACATAACTTGTGCAATTATTTAACAGAAGCAGCATTAAGAATGATGAAAACTATTCTGCATATGTATGCGCGTTGTTTAATTTAAATAGAGTGTTATCAGTAAAATATTCTTTCTATTACACAACAAGGAGTTCATTCTAAAGTTCCCTAATTAAGAATTTTTTTACATGCTTTCCAAAATGGGATAAATTATGGCCGCATTTTTATTTCAGGAGGTGTTCATTGTTCTGAAAGTCGAAGCACTTTTTGAAGAGGACTGTGAAATCTTAATATTGAGAGAGCAGTCACATATATAAAACGAAAGGAAAAAAAGAAAAAAAGAAAAGAAAATGAAATAAAACGAAAGAGAAGAAAAGAGGAAAGCGAAGAAAATAAGAAAGAATAAAATAAAATAAAAAAAAAGAAGGAATAAAGGCCGCAACATGAGGTGGAATAATATATATAACCATAAACAATTGAGAAATCTTTCTGTGGCGGAATATACCGGATTCCAGTTATAAAGGATGAGGAAATCCTGTTTACCTGTCTAGTACACTATGTATATCTGTGCGACGAATATATGAAAGCAAAGAATATGGCAGAGCGAATTCAAAATATAAGAGCTTCGGTATCGGAAGAGAACTGAAGGCCACACTTCACTAAACAGGATAACCATTTAAGAGATGATAAGAAGAAGGTGAAAATGTGAGTTTTCACGTACATACGAATACTGCATTAGATATCCCCCGAAGCATAAGGGGAATCAGAAGAGGGAGTCACACTGTAATTTGACACATTCCGAGATAATACGAGGGTTAGCATAATATATATATATATGCTGGTAAGATGAAACAGGGATGCTGACAAAATCCGTGGTATCCTTTCTGATGGGTTATATGATGATCACTACTTAGGGAAAGACAGGCCTGCTCCAGAAACACCATATTTCTAAAGGTTCCTCTTCCGTGTCAAATTTGATGAATCCCATTTCGCAAAGATATAAGCAGAAAGTTCCTCCTTTTTCCATCCTACTAGGAAGGCCCTCAATTCTATCAGTAAAACATACATTAATTGTTCTCTCATTGAAGCAATAGATATGGCAACAAAAATGGCATAACTTCTATTTACCTTGGTAAATGAATCATAGGCGGTCTCGTAATTACAACTTTAAGGCAGACTGATCTGATATGTCAGGAGTGGACATCCTGGCCTTCCAGAATCCTCTGGTGCTTATATCTGCTTGTTCTTCTTCTTTTTCTACTGTTAACTTATGATTTTCTCTCTAAGGAGATTTTATCAAGGTGTTATTTCTATTGCGGTGTCTTGAATGAGTCCTGCCCTGTTTCGTACAGAAGCATCCGGATGGGGATGATCATTTTCTATAGATTCCGCGTTTCCGTGTGTCCGATAGAGGAGTGTCGCCCAATTTAGTAGGTGCAGCGGAATACAGAATGCGATATGCCATGTTTATCAGTAAATAAAACAGATGGAGAATAATGCTTTTCGACTTCTTCCTTATGTGTCTAGGCTGTTATGTATAACGAGTATTTAAGAGGACAAAGAAATGGACTATTCTCAGGAATCCTCCAGGGGGATTATTACAAATAGGAAATTATGCATTCACCATTTGGACATTTTTTAT